CCTCGACATCTGAGTGTTCCCTCAAGTGGAAATGCAATGGTGCGGGGAAGTAAACACACCCACGGCAGGTCCTAAGGAGCACCTTAGAGCATCAGAGTAGATTTGGTGCACTGACAAATGAAAGCAGAGCAGAAGAGACCAGCTTCCACTATCTGTGCCAAAACAATCATGGAAAGCTGATGGATATGCTGTCCATCCCTATCCATTATGATAATTGCATCCATTTTGATAAACTCTGTATTTCAATTATCAGAAAGCACATGCTTTGTACTCAAGTCTGACATGCAAAATCCCAGCTACTAGAGTCAACAAAGGCAGAAAGTGTCAAGTTTGTTAAAACATGGACCATACTTTGTTCAGGCAGATCAACTGGCCAAAAGCTTTTCTAAATCTTAAGCATAAACAGGTTTTCAAGTAATCTCTTCCTCGACTCTCTGAACTGAGAGGTTGTGAGCACGACAGAATCTTAGCTCCAAATGTGAAATACTAACTGTGTTGTCCAGCAAGGCTGCAGAAAAGCTTTTCAATTTAGAACACTGTCACAGTATTTAAAATTATATTAGATCTGATGTTGATATGTCACATCAGCCAGCAGAGCTCAGAACCTCTCCTTTTTGCCTTTCCAGTGTGGAAATTAAATGACAACTCCTGTTGCAAAAATATCTGGGGAGAAGTAGTATTTCATCAGATCCTTTTATCACGGGAAGTCAGCATATTTCCATCTGCTCTCTTCTGCTTAAACATTTGAATCATTCTTGGCAATATGGTATGGACTTCCAACTCCTACTGCATCTCTCACACAGGCACTGTCCCAGCTGTAAGTACACATACCCTATTTGCAAAATAATTCACTTCTAAAAACAGCTCTTGCTAAGAACAACTTATTTCCCTTGGGAGTCAGAGATTTCACAATAACATTTTAAACAAAATCACTTAGAATTGCATCTCTACTCCACACACACAAATGTACACAGGCAAAAGGAGCACAGTAGCCACCAGCTAATTGTACCACAGCCTCAGTCTCTCTTCCTTTAAGCTCCAAGTGAATACATTGCTCTGCCATCCATTACCAGGTACAATAATTCCTTACTCTACTGTCTTGAAGTAGAAGAGTTTGGCAAATGTTATCACAGTACAGCAGAAAGCAGTTAAGAGGCATTTTTAAACCTATTTGTTGCATCTGAATGCAAGATACACTTAATAACATGACCTTTTAGTTGTTTATAAAGTTTATGACGTGTTCAAGATCTTTACATCCATAAAAGTAATACTGTCATGCAGGGCACAGTGCCCAAATCAAGGTAGAGATCTGGGTTCATGTTCTGTCCAAATGCCTCTGCTACAGCTGATGCAGGCTGCTGTGGAAATAAATACACCACATTCCTCTGGAGAAGGAATTATTTCATACAGGCCAAACGACCAGGCTGCCCAGAGAAGCAAGAAGAATATGAGGAAATAAAATACTTTTTTCCCTGTTGATGAACAAAAGGAAAATGAAACTCCTGACCAAGGGTCACACAGAAGCAAAATATGGGCATGGCATTATGTGCAAGGCATGAAACAATTCAATCACAGAGAAAGCTCATCAACCATCAAATACATTTAAAGCAGAAAAGTACATTTTTTGGTCTTGTCCTGGAAGATTAATGCAGTCATGCAAGATAATGCGAGTTTGCAGAACAGCTATGAAAATCCAATTTTAAATCCAATTTAAAATCTTTTCTATTTTCTTCTTGTTAAAAAGGAAAATGAAAACCAAACAACCCTTCAATTAAGGCATGCTTACAAAGAAAAGCCCCACTGATGTGACTAGTAATGACAATCACACAATAACTTAAATGAGTCCAGATGCTAATTCAGTATAAGAAGGGATCCACACTGCTTATTAGAAAAGCTCTATCTCTGAAGTAAACCATTGATCTAACACACCTTGGTAGCAGAGATTACTTCTATGGACTTGCTAATCAGCACTGCCTTAATGCATTAAAAGATCATCATCATTCTCCTAACTTGTTAAAACATGATATAGGGGAGAAAATGTCTCCAACGTCCAAACAAGTATTTAAATAAGAGTTTCTCTGCTCAACTGCTACATAAACCAAAGCCAAGAGGAGAAAACCAGATTTTTTACCCTTTCCCCCCAAACTGATACTCCTTTTCCTGAAAGCATTGACGCACTCAGAGTGCATCTAGAATAGATAACTTGAGTACTGCTCTTGTGCTCCAACATAAAGCCAACAAGAAGCACTTGCACCCACCCCCAAGGCTACATAAAATACTTGGCTTTAGATTGAGACATGCCAAAAGAAGTTTGCCATGTTCACAGACAGAGAGAAGGGCATTACACTTAACCCTGATCAGTTTGGCGATGACAGTTTCATGGCAAAGCTAGATTTGAGGGCAATGCCAGAGAATCAATGCTTCCTATTGTCTAGCCACTGCTTAAGTTACATGGTGAAGCCATCTAATGTCACCTTACCCACAGTCTCATCAATTTGAAAGTCAATTCTCATTCTACAATTCAAGACAAATGACTTCAAGAGTCAGTAATGAGGGAGTATAAGTCAGCAAAAGTTAGATCACAAAAAAAAAGGACAGCTGTATTTACATCCTTTCTTGCAAACATGAATTGACATCATCCCTAGCACAATTAAAAATCTTGTATACAATATTTCTAGTCAAATTCAAGGACATATAAGTTAGTTTCCCACAGAGCAACTAGGACAAATTTGATACCATATGAATGGGTGGCTAACTTCCTAGATTATATCTGAGCAAATTTCAGTATTATGTCACTACGGAAAGGGTAATTAAGGAGGAAAAAAAACCCAACCCACCACACCAAAAGTTCTTTTTTTCCCTGTTTACTTTTGACCAGGTAAACTCCATCTTTGTCACAAGATCAGTAAAATCTAGGGAGCTTCCAAAGAGTCATCCTAAATGCTATAATTACTGCAAATTATGTATACTGTTTACCATGTCAGCAGATTTATTCTTTAACTCAGGATCAGCTAGATCCCTCAATACCTTGCTTTTAACTAGTTTTTCCTACCAAGAACAATCCACTGGCTTTATCCACCTTCCTTGTCCCTCAACAGCAGACCTCACAGCTGTTAAAAGAACCAGCAGAAAATTCCAGCATTTCCCTGAAAAAAAGAAATAAACTTAAGTTCCAGTTATTACTGTGCCTGTCATGTTGGGAGTGGCTTGGAGACTACATCCACCCATCCCTCCCTCCCTCCCTCCCTCTCCCACCTTTTGTTGACCACTGTGTCACAAACCCTTGCCATTTTAGCACAAAGTCTGGTAAGTTCCCATACGTTCCTTTAAATACTGCCGACTCTAATAAATTAGTTATCAGGGGGTTCAACAGGGGTTTGATTAGTTATGGTTTTGGCAACATACTGAAAAAAGCTGCAACTTTTTACCAGCCCTTTTCTGTATAAACAAATAAAATCCCTGGAAACCAACTTGTTGCTACTACCTCAATGCCACAGCAGATGCAATTCCAGGCAAAGCACAGGAACTACATTGACAGCAGATTTCAAAATACATGAAGAATTCCACCTTCTAAATAATATTGATATATAGACTATACAGACTTCATTCACAGACTAAAATAATGGATACGGCGCACAAATATTTAAATTCCAAAAGGCAGGTGGGTAACACAGAAACAAATAACTATTTCTCTATTCTGAACTTCTACCAAATGCTGCAGGCTTATTCTGGCCACCTGGGGAAAAAAAAAAAAAAAAAAAAAGAATCCTACTTCCATCAGACTATTACACATACACCTGCAAGAAGACTTAGGTATGCGTGCACTGTACAAACAGTTTGAAGAACAGAACCCAAAACTCTCAACCTGTTTCCCCAATAACTGAGAAATGACTGGAAAATTGATGGCTATCTAAAACAATTTTTAATTCAAAGGTAACGTAGTCAGAAAGCAGAAGAATGTATTTTCAGACCTTGAGAGCCCAGGGGGTAATCCATGAAAGGAGAGCCTGAGAAAATTTTTTCAGTAAGCACAGCAGTGGTAAACTTTTGAGGTAAAACACGTTTTTTAATGGGTTTGGCAATCCTGTCCACACTTCAAAAGACTGACTATAGATTTCTAAAATTTTTGAACAATGTGGAATGGCTGCTGGTCATTTCCCACACTGCAATGAGGTAGTATATCAACACACAACACTGACTAAAGACCTGAGCAGTCTAAATGAAAACACACTTCACAGCAGTGCCTTAGTTTAGATTATGAACTGTTTACAAGTCCATAGAGCATTGAAGGTCTGAAGAAACACTTGATCTCACAGTAAACATGTACAGGACCTTGAACCAAACACAGATGCAATCCGTATGTTTATTTTGCTTAGCCTGAAGTACTAATTATCACAAAAGAAGAAAGCACAGGTTTCAGAAGTAGCTTGATTATTCTGTACCAATTCAAGAAGTACCAGTGGAAACACCACTGGGTTCCGTATCTCCAATCTCATATAAATACATATTCATTGCCTAAGAAAGGGTGGAAGACCTCGATGAACGTATATGCACAGTATTATTAAGACCTAGATGAGTACGACCCAAACCTCTACAGAAGCGTCTCCAGCTGCCAGCAGTCGGAAACAAAGCATTCGGGCAACATACTTCACAAGGACATCTGGAAAATACGGACAAGCCGAAGCAAATCTGTTCTCTTCGCAAATTTCTGAATTACAATATTGTCTTGTTTTAGGGAACGCGTGCTAAATGTTCGGCAAGAAAATTCTCCCAGAACATGGGGCAAGTCACACCCTGATGTACGGAGCCATCGGTCACCGGCAGGCTCCCACACCAGGCTCCAGCGCGTAAATCTGCGTGGGAATCTCGGCGCACTCGGCGCGCCCGAGCTGGGGCGGGCGGCAGGAGCGGGGAGCGTCCCCGCAGCCGCGCCCCGGTCCGCGGGACCCCGCGCCCCGGAACGGCGGAGGGCTCCGCCCCGGCCTCGCCGCCGCCCTTACCCGCCAGTCCCCCGCCGCCGCCATCGCCGCCGTGTCCCTTCCTCCTCTGCAGGATGAAGTAGGGGTTGGCCCGCTCCGTCACCCACAGTGCGTTCGCCAGCAGCACCTCCTCGGGGTTCACCCACATGCTCCCGGCGCGGACAAAAGCAGGCCCGGCGGGCTGAGGGCTGGCTCACGCACGCACCGCCCGCATCAGGCGCCACCATGCCCGGCCGCCACGGCGGACGGCGCAGCCCCACGGGCACCAGTGGGCACCGGGCGGAGGCAGCAGCCGCATGGCCCTCGCCGCCTACCCGCGCTCCATCGGGCGCAGAGGGGCGGCTGCTGCGGCCCGGGGCGGCGGCAGCTCCCGCCGCAGCGGTGACATCAACGCCGGCCCGGCCCCGCCGCGCTGCCTCACGCAGCTACCTCACGCACAAACCCCGCGGGATCGGCGCGCGCCCGCCCCGTGCGCGCCGCCGATCGCTCCTCCCGCCCCGTGGGGAGCGCGCTTCGCGTCCCCGCACCTGGGCACGGGCACGCCCACGGCGGGTCCGCGCTCGGAATCGCTCCGCAGGGACGCTGCGGGCGAGAGCCGCGGACCGAGAGCCGCCCTGCCCGGTAGGACTCGGGGTGCCAGGAGACCACAGGGTGAACCCGAGCCGGCAAGGCGCGCTCGCCCCCCAGAAAGCCAAACGTGTCCTGGGTGCATCCAAAGCACCGTGGGCCGCAGATGAGGAAGGGGTCTCGCTTCTGCTCTGGCGAGACCCCGCCTGAAGTGCTGCATTCAGCTCTGGGGTCCCCGGCCTCCTCTGCAGACAGTCTGAGAGAGTTCTGGTTGCTCATCCTGGAGAAGAGAAGGCTTGTAGAGACCTTATAGCACCTTTCAGTGACTGGACGGGCTGCAAGAGAGCTGGGGAGGGACTTTTTGATAGGACATGAAGTGATGGCTTCAAACTGCAAGAGGGTATGTGTAGATTAGATACCAGGACAAAATTCTTCCGTAGGAGGGTGTAGAGGCAATGGACAGTGGGCACAGGTTGCCCAGAGAAGCTGTGGATACCTCATCCCTTAAAGCATTCAAGGCCATGTTGGAATGGTGCTGGTCTAGTGGGAGGTGTTCCTGCCCATGGCAGGGGGTTGAAATGAGATGATCTTTAAGGTTTTGTCCAACCCTAACCATTTTAAGGTTCCCCTTTTTACTGCCCACCTTGAAAGTTTTGGCCTTCTCACCATGCGGCACAGAGAATTTTGTGAAATTGGTTGTCAAAAGGAAGAGCAGGCTCTGGTCTCAACCAGAAGGAAGCCATCCACCAGAGGAGATGACACTGCCCTCTTGCCACAGCCCCTTCTCTGTACCTGTTCTCTGCCATGCCCCACACTATTTTTGAAGTTCACCTCTGCTGCTGAAGACCACCTTGTGCCTACTGCTAAAGTTGGAGGTAATTTCTGAGGAACTGAAGAGCCCTAGAATAAAGCATACTCAAAGGGAAGACCTCTGTGTGTAGATAACACATTTTCTACCCTTGTAGCTCTGAATGTTATTTGGTTTCCAGGTTGTCAGGAAAGGACTGTACATACTGACCTCCCTTTAAGTATAAAATTGTTACTTTCAAATCAGATATGTATCTTCATTTTATTAAAGATGTTCATAAGGCTAAATTAAGCCCCAAAGACAACACAAAGCCATGTTCTGGGCACAAACTGCTCATGCCGGCTGTACTTTATAGAAGACTCCAGTCTTTCATCAACTGGTGTTGGCATAGAGCTGGTACCCAGTGTCCATCATGTGAACCCAGAAACATGATCCTGGGAGAAATGACTCTTTGTCTGAGGTAGCAGTCATGTGGTTGTTGCTGTGTTCAGGAAGAGGAGGTGACTGTCCCTGATGTACACTTAAAAAAGGCCAGTTCTGCTGTCAGTTCCACTGCACCATGGAGAATATTCATCATCGAAGAGGGCAGCTACACCTTGACTGAAAATGCAGAAAAGACTCTTCACTCTTTCCCAGAGCAGTGGAAGAACAGCTCCAGTGACAAACTGTCCAAAACCCCCACTTCCCTGTCCCCTGTGCTGTTGGGGGGAAGGAGGGAGGGGTTGGGGAAAAAAAGGTGTTTTAAAGGGCTTATTTTACTTCTCATTATCCTCCTCTGACTCTGTTAGTAATAAATTCACTTTATACCTCCAAGTTGAGCCTGTTTTGCCCTTGGAGTGTTTTCTCCCTTATCTCAGCTCATGACCCCATTGTTAAATTTTTTTTCTCTTCTCTGTCCAGTTGTGGCAGGGGAGGGTGAATGAATGGCTTTCGTGGGTGCCTGGCATTTGGCCAGTGTCAAACCATGACAGGAACAAAATAATGAACTTCTGGTCAGTCCCTTGCATTATAATCAGGATATAGAAAAATGGAATAATGGATATAAAAAAATGGATATAAAAAAATGGATATAAAAAAATCTGAAATGGAAATAAAAGAATATTTTCCCCTGCATGTCTTGTAATATTTTGTTGGAAAAAAAATATACAGAGTTGGAATCTCAATGTGGTTTTAACACTGAATGGGGCTGTTTAAAGTTCTCTGTGCCACTACATATAAAACTATAATGTATGTCATTCATTTTTGAAAAATAAAGAAATCAGGAGCAGTTATCAATACAAACTGAGGAGTTATTTCATATTATAAAGCTCCTAGGGAGGAAAATAAACATGCTTCTAGAAGGAGAACCATTCTGTCTAATATCATCATACTAATGGATATTAACATTACTTAAGTGGGAAAAAGATTAAATAAGGCAGACATTTTATAATTTATTCCCCAGAAGACCTTTTTACAATGGATCTCTTCATTAGACGTACCCAACTAGCATTTGCTAGTGGTTCAAGACAGTCATTCAGCTGACTAGGAGCAAAGTTAACATATCAAAATTTTGGAAGATTATCTTTGAGAAATGCACACCTTACTTAGGTGGTAAAACAGGTGTGTATATATTCAGGAGAAACAGACTGTCTGCAAGCTTTCAGTCTGGATGAGGAATCTACCTTTCTAAGCAATGTTAAATAAAACAGTTTCATCTTCTGAGATGCACTTTTAAAAAAATTCTCTATGATTATGATGGCTGTTCTTCAGTATGCCTCTTACCACTTCTTCTCTTGTGAAAAATTCTTATTGTGAATGGCAGCTTTCTTTGGCTTTTTTTGGGTGTGAAGTTCTGCTGTTCTTTCATGAGAAATGGACAACTTGTTACCGGTTGGTAAAAAGTGTTTCCCTATATTTAACTCCCCTTGAGTGTCGTATTGATCCCTTTACTCTTTATAAAGTCCATTGATGTTCCAGGTTCTCCATGGGTAAGTCAGGTCCCTGTCCACAGCCCACACATCTTTTTATGGGCTACCCTGCTTCCTGAGGTGTGTTGGATAAGACACAGTTTCCAGCTCTCCTTTGTGTCTTTACCATCCTGTGAACTCTGATAATTACTGGAGTGTAGGTGTCGGAGGTGGACTTTGTATGTTAACAGAGCTTTACCAGTTTTGATTTTATTTTGACAGAGGCAAAGACTTTGCTAATTTGGAGACATTATGTCAGAATCCGTTTTTTTTTTTTTTTTTTTTGACCCAGTGCTGCACTGAGAACACATTAAGCATTTTATCCAAAATCCTCATTCAGAAAAGCTTTCCAAAGCAGTGGTCCCTATCTTGGTTATAACTGACACCCTTTGCCTTATGTCTGGTTTGTGGACATAAGCACTAGGCTATGGTAGAGTGACCCAAGTCCTGATACAGCAGTGATCTTACATCACTATTTGTCTTGTCAATCCCTATGCCATTCAAAATATTGTCATAAAGTTTCTTTAGCACATAATTGATCATGTAGAATATTAAAATTTTACAGGGACTCCTACCAGCTTCCTCATGCGCTATTATCCCCTTATTCTCTAATATCTCAGTGAGTTGGTTTTACACACAGATGTTACGACAAAGTTAATTTTATATACAATCTGTTGTTACAAATAAAATTTCTTTGGCAAAATTCAGACACATGATACCAACCCTCCTATTTCTATTGACCAAAGCTTTCACCCTGCCAAAACTGAAGCAAGCTTTGTTTGACAGGACTTACTTCCACAAGTCTGTGCAAGAACAATTATATTCTCACCCTGAAAGTATTTGTTATCACTGTGACAGATTAATTATTCTGTTATTGTAACAAGTTCAGTGATAGACTAACCAGTCCATAGTTAGTTAAGTCTAACTAGCTAATTAATAGAGCTGCTCGTTTTTAAATGTGAAAACTACATCACTATACAGATAAATGTATGAACTCCAACATCTGCTATACTCCAGTAGAATGAAAATAGAAAAGGTTTACGAATGAAAACTCCAAAGAAGTTAGTAAATTTCCCATGATAACAGAGCTGACAATGATAAAGCTGAGAAGAAAAACAGCTCTTTGAATATGCCTTAGGAGACTACACGCAGCCGAGCCAATGTTACTAACGTAAATGGAAAGCCAACAAACATTTGATGGCAGCTGTGTTTTAATATAGCAGTGCCCTAAAAAAGGCACAACTACCATGTTTCAGTGTGATGCTAGGGGAAAAAAAAAAAAAAAAAAGGAGGTATACATCTTGGTAACAGCAGAATTGGCCCTTTTTCAGAAATTCAGTAATCCAAATCCTTCTTGCACCTTCCTTTTGGCACCTTCTGGAGCCACCAGCGACCAGGCACATAAGAAGTCACCAAACCAGTCCAGCCAACAACTTCCTTGGCACTGTTTCTTTAGCATGACATGAGTGAGAATGTTTGAAAACAAATACTGGCAAGGAATGAAGTTGCTTTCAAAGATTTTGATGGTTTCATTATATGCTCATGTAATTAACTGTTTTAGCCAGTTGAAGATGACAAATTTCTTGAGGTACAATGTATGTTATGTTGGACAACAGAGAAATGCTGGACTTAATTTGACTTTAATAGTATTAATACTCAGCAATTACCCCAGAATCCCTTCATTAATTACTTATGCTAAGTACCTGAATTTAAATACTTTGATATGTGTCATAAGACTTAATTAACATTGCCCATTCATTAAGTGGTTTGGTTTGTTTATCCTTAAATTCAGAATAAATGTTGTTTCCCCTCTGATGATGTTCCTTGCTTTTCTATACACTGGTTTTGTTATCTGTGTTATCCTAAAATAGAGTGCACATCTGAATGTGAAATAATTTAGAGAAGCAACACTCCATGAAAAATGAGTAATAAAACCTACCTGCTAAAATAAGTAAAAGCCAAGACACAGGTCTATCCATTTAAACATTTGTGTATTAAAGGATTTACAGAGTTAAGTCAACTTGCAGTTATTAACTGGGACAAATGGGGCATAGTTGAATAATCATTCCCTTACGTATTTCACAAGTTATTCTGCTGTTTGGGATTTTTTTTCA